GGCGCCTGTGGTCCCAGCTACTTGGGAGGCAGAGGCAGGAAACTCGCTTGAGCCCAGGAGTTGGAAGGTGCTGTGAGCTGTAATGCCACGGCACTCTGCCCAGGGGGACAGCTTGAGGCTCTGTCTCAAAAAAAAAAAAAAATCTGGGAAGCCAAGGTAGGTGGATTTCTTGAGCATAAGTTAGAGCAAGACCCCATCTCTACTAAATGATGCCATAGCACTCTACTGAGGGTGACAAAGTGAGAGTGTTTTATTTTGTCTCAAAAAAACAAAACAAGTAGATGGAGACTCAGTGCCTATGGTTCAAGTGGCTAAGGTGCCAGCCACATACACCTAAGGTGGTGGGTTTGAATCCAGCCTGGCCCACCAAACAACAATGATGGCTGCAACCAAAAAATAGCCGGGCATTGTAGCGGGCACCTATAGTCCCAGCTATTTGGGAGGTTGAGGTAGGAGACTCGCTTGAGCCCAGGGGTTGAAGGTTGCTGTGAGCTATGATGACACGGCACTCTACCCAGGGGGGACAGCTTGAGGCTCTTTCTCAAAAAATATATAAAATAAAATAAAAAATAAAAAACATGTTTTAAAAGTAGATGGAGATTTTGTGTGTAATGAAAGAACTGTGTTTTAAAACAGGTTTGTATTTATGAGCTTAGAATCATGCAGCTAAGCAAGTGTTTTCAACTCTAATCCTTACCTGTTTTTTTTTTTTTTTTTTAAATAATGGCCAGACACGCTACTGTAGGATCCCCAGGCCTTTAGGAGTGACAAGGGGAAAGAGTGTACTTGTGGTTGGTCTTTTAGAGCAGTGATTTTCGACTGGCATTCTGTGAAAATTTTTAAAGATCATTAATTAAATTATTTTGGAAGGACGTTCAAAGCAGTAAGTATATTGTTTTTTAACTTTTTTTTTTTAATCAATATAATTTAAGTGTACTGTGTAACTACAGGATCAAGTGCCCCACGAGATAAAAAAGGTTGAAAAACACTGTTGTAGAGGGTCAGGAATGATGCCAGGATGCAATGCCTGCTCCCCTCGAGTGGGTAGAGACTGTATTCATACTCTTCTTGAACACTGTTATCTACCCTTGTGGTATCATTTGTTTTCATCAGAAAAGTCTCCCACTGGCCTGGGAGAACAGAGATGTGTTTTGAATCCACTTCCTCTGCTCTGGCCCTATCTCTAATATCTTTCTTAGAGGAGTAGCCATTCCCCAGGTGGGGTAGAGGATGTTCCAGAAAAAAAGGAATGTTGTCTGCAAAAGACATGAAGCTATTTAAAAAAAGAGCAAGGGCTCAGTGGCTGGGGCGCAGCCACACACACTGGAGCTGGTGAGTTTGAAATCCAGCCCAGGTCTACCAAACAACAATGACAACTACAACCAAAACATAGCCAGGCGTTATGGCAGGCACCTGTAGTCCCAGCTACTTGGGAGCCTGAGGCAAGAGAATTGCTTAAGCCCAAGAGTTTGAGGTTGCTGTGAACTGTGATGCTATGGCACTCTCCCCAGGGCGACAGAGTGAGAC